TGGGAACATGAAGCGGCGACTTCTTACGGTCTACGAAAAAGAATACATCTTTCAAAGTTTACATAGAACGATTTCCTTTTCCTGTCACCAATGGAGAAAGGGATACTGGTGTTTTATTTACGGGGTACATGGTCGGACTCGAAGATCTTTTCATCTCCATCCGGCCCATGGTGTTGGCTGGGTGTATTGAACAAAGTCGGGCGCTGCTTCTTTGTATGTTGAGTGCGTCTTGTAACTGGTGTTGGGTATCTTGGGCTTGTTTTTGGAGCGGTTAAGCACATCATGTTTGCGCGGGTGTATATTTTTTACATTGCATACTTGATGTAATTCGATCCAATGTCATTATCATATACTTTGGCTGGGGCGAGGCGATTTTGTGTTGTACTTGGGATGATATCAAGAAACTTGGGTATTCTAGGTCTTTGGGTGGTTAGGTACAAACGTCATGGTTTCTCCATAGTACAATATGCATTATTTTTCTTGTTTCTACACTACTACTGGGATATTTTCATGATGATAATGGTGACAATGGTGAAATGATATGAAATGTTGAAATCACTCTACTTGTGAGAGGTGAGTTGGGTAGAGGTGGGGTGGTGGGATACGAAATACAGGGGAAGAGGGGAGGGGGAGGGGGAGAGGAGATTAAGGATATAGATTGGGCGAGAGGTGAGAGGTGAGAGGTAAGAAGCTTACCTTGATGTCTATCTATCACGTCACATCACTCCAATGAGTCCAATCCAATCCAATCCTTCATTTTCCTACCTCACTTTCCTAAGTCATCATCCCTAGGTAATTTGACCGCACGGAACGTAAAAAGAGGAAAAGTATTAAGCTTATAAACTTAAAAAATAGGTCGAAAGGTATGTAGATAGGTATCAATAATTTCTATGGTACTAAAATTGATTTAAACCTTATTGTGATACACCACGAGACTTGAAGAAAAAACTCCGAAATCGCTGTAGAATGCGGAATGCGGAATGTGGGATGTGGGATGTTAACCCCTGAATTTGATTTGGCTTGTAAATATACCTAGTGAGGCGGGTGAAGCGGGCGGGGCGGAATATGACAGAGTGAGTGACTTAATGTAATCTTTTGGCCTGGATTATGAGGTTTGGGTTTTAGTGAAGGTTGGAATGGAACCTCGGATAATTTTTATGGATGTCGATTTCCGGCCGGCTCTTGTGGCTGTTTGTCTATGCTGTGGCTATTTGTCTATGCTGTGGCTGTGACTATGGCTGTGACTGGGAAAAAAATTTAATACGTCATGTTATTTCTGTCCCACATCCCACCTCGAATCAACTTGAGCCAGACTGGGCAAAGTTGAAGTTGAGTGGAAAGCAGAAACGGAACTAGAAGAACTGGAAGATATCAACATCATCGTTGTTTGCCATACTCCAGTACAATTTCTACTTTCTACATTCTACATTATACAATTACGGTATACCTTCAATTGATATCAAGAATATTCAAATAGTACGTCAATTCATCCAATTCAACACCTTTAAGCTTCATCTTCATCTTATCTTCCTCTTCCATCGCTCTCTCAACCACAAGCACAAGTACGTCAGAAATCAATAGAAACATCAACCAACTAATCTAATCGCTCATATAGCATTCCCGCCACCCTATTCGTCAAATAAACAACATACAAACACCAAAATAAACACGCAAAATGTCTTTCTTCCTTCGTCAATCCATCAGAGCTGCACGTCCAGTTTCAATCGCAACTCCTGTTCGGAGAACATTTGCAAGTTCGAGCGTGAGAGGTTTGAAGGAGAGTGATAGGCGTGAGTTTTGCTTTTATTTGTGTTTGAATAGTCTGGGTTTTGTTGTGGCGGTTGTGGTTCTCTTGGACTCTGGGGCTCTTGGGCTGGATTTATATGTCGAGGGCTACATTCGTGTTGAGAAATCTATTGATTTTTAGAGTGGTGGATTGTCTTGGTACATGCTGCATATCTCGAGTCCCTTTCCCGCCAGTCCAGGGTCCCCAGTTTCCTTCGCATATGATGCACCTCCAATACTCCAATCACTATCATTGATAAAATATGACTTACTAACGAACTCACTCACAACAGATAACCCAGAACAAGCTGCCGAAAATGAACATCACAAGCAAGATCAATTGGCCAAACAAAAGGAAGGAAAGAACCATTGGAAACCAGAGTTGGCTAGTGATAGTGAAGAAGCTGTAGGTTATTATTCGGTTCTACTTTCTCTGCGAGTTTCCCCATCGCATATCCCTTTCCCCCGTTTGTTCCGTCTGTTCATCCACTTTTACTTTTCAATATCTATGATGAGAAAGTTACTCAATAGAAGTCTCTAGAAAATCACATGGAAGCCAATCTCTCCCTCTCTACTTGCAGACCCGATCACTCCTCCTGGTTCACACACCAATTTGAAGATGGAACGGAAAAGTACGACTCCAGGTCTATTCTATAATTCCGTACCCACACCACCAGCAAGTGTCTTGGCAGAAGAAGAGAAAATAGCACCATTAAGGTTCCATTTGGTTGGAAATATAGTGAAGCGTGTCCGTGTTAGAGGCAAAAATGAAATTTTTGTTACGAGACCTATGTATTTGAAACGGAAGGTTAAGAAGAGAATTTCTTCTCGTATGAATGCTCCTATACATGGATGAGGATGTGGAAATGGATGCACCACATCAAAATTCTTCTGTGTGTGATGAGGGATTTGGAGAGGATGGATCGAAATAGATAAAAGGATATTGAAAATAGCGGGAGAAAGAGCAGAGAATAAGGTTAGATATGTGACGGAAAAGAGAAGAGGAAGTTTGAGTGGAGGCTCGAGTCGAGGAACATATGAGGGAATGGAAGCTTGATAGTTCTACCTGCTTTATTTATTCCTCTGTTTTTGAGATTTGATTTTCATTTCATTTCGTCTTGTTTCCTTGTTATTACTTTTCATTTCCATTCAGTCTCACTCACGAATTAACGAAAGAGATCAGTAATTTTATTTCAAATAAACATGCTAATACAACGATGAACACAGATAGCAGCAGATCGTCACGAACACTCTGATCTTTCCAAGGAGGGTATTAAGGAATTGCAAAAGAAGACTGAAGGTCATGCTGAGGAGAAACTTAAGTAAGATACATGGCCGTCTGATCCTTTGAGCTTGCGTTTGTTGTACGTCGTGTGGAATGATTTGCTGATAACAGTGTGTTTAGGAATGGAACGAGTAAGAATACTGGGTTGTAATGTAGTTGGAAGTTTGAGGTTGGAGTTTGATAGGTGATTGGAGAGGGGAGATGATTGGTAGGAGTTGGGGGAGGGCAGGGAAGAGCAGGGAAGGGAAGGGAAAGGAAAGGAATTGGGTTGAATTGTATGATATGGATGGATGGGTATTAAATCAAATAGTACTATGAACGATAAACGATGAACGCACACAATCATGATTTCAGAACTATTTGGATTTGGATTTTAACGAGAATCGAGTTGTGTGATAATAAAGAAGGAAGCTTGAGATTTTAGTTTCTACCGAGATCTCTGTTCTATTTCTACTCGAGTAGTACAGTATAGGTAGTATTAATAGTGAGATGAAAAGTACGAGTACTAGATTTTCTCTTTTCTTTTTTCTTCTTCGGTTCTTGTATACTTACGGTATTCTTGGGGTAGTTGGGGAGAGGGTAGAAGGGAGGGAGGAAGGGAGTTTGTTGATAGGTATTGATAGGAATTGGTAGGGTTGGAGATGGGTGTAGGTAGTTGTGGGTGTTAGTGTTGGGTATTGATTGTTGGGTATTGGAATTTGGGATGTGTTTATTGAGTGTTTTATGTTAGTGTTAGTGTTGGTATTGGTATTGGTATTGGTATTGGTATTGGTATTGGTATTGGTATTGGTATTGGTATTGTTATTGTTATTATCACTGTGGATGTTTGTGTTGGTTAGTGTTAGGGTGGGTTACTATCACTATCATTGTCGCTATGACTGTTACCTTCAATGCTAGTGTTTTGTTATTATTACTGTTATTTTTACTGTTACTATCACTATCATCACTCTTAGTTTTTGTATTTTAAATTTTAGATCTCAAAATCTAGAATCTGGATCCAGAATCTAGAGTTTGTTGTTTCCCCTCCCCCCTTTCCCCCCACAAATTTGGGATTTCGAATATGACTGTTAGGAGTAGTGTGATGGGTATTGTAGAGATTGATTTTTGTTGGTTCTTCTTATGGAGAGGTGGGAGGTGAGAGGTGAGAAGATGGGGGAAGGGTGCGGGGTTGAGAAGTGAGAGGTGAGAAGATGGGGGAAGGGTGCGGGGTTGAGAAGTGAGAGGTGAGAAGATGGGGGGGGATGCGGAGTTGAGGATGCGGGGTTGGTTGTGTGGATTAGTTGGGGAAGGGTGAGCAGGGTTGAGGAGAAGTGAGGAGGGTTGAGGAGGGGGTGGTTTTCAAGGAAGGTACTAGAATAGAGCCTTTGCATACGAGGAGTGTAGGTAAATAAGTGAATAGGATATTAGAGGGTAGATAGAATATAGTGAATTAGTCCTCTTTCTAGTCTAAACCATAGATTTTAAGCAGGAGGATGCAAGGTACAGATGGGAGAGACTAGACTAGACTACTACTACTACTACTACTACTACTACTCTACTATTCTGATGGTAGTAAGTCATTTAAAAAATCCTTCCATAACTATAAACAGATAGTATATTCCCTTCTACTTCTACCTCGATATCGAGAACACAATTGAACATCTTGATTACTATAGGGATTCGGGAAAGGATTATCAGGGTATTCTTTTTATTTCGTGTTAGTGTTTGGTATAAGATTTGATAGAGAGAGAGAGTAGAGAGGAATCTAGGAAAAGGGCTGGGTGTTTGTATGTTTGTATTTTTGTCGCTTTGAAATTTATGGGCTTTTTGGTACTGTCTATTGTCTATTGTCATGTCTAATGTTGTCATTCATACTAATTAGTATTTATTGTCGCTTATTTTTATCTTCAACTTGACTTATTTCATTTTATTACATCTTCTTTCCATCACATCTCCTTATAATCATTACCACTAGCTTATCAGTGTATTCAAACTCCCCTCCTCTCCTCTCCTCTTCTCTCCTTGAAAATAGGAGAAAAAGGAGTTCTTCAACTTAAGGTAGAGGAAAGAAGAGAAAGAAATGAAATATCGGAAAATAAAGGATTTTTAAAAGTTAGGAGAAAAAGAGAAAGAAAAGGAGATTCAAAAAAAACCCTTGCATTTTATTATAATTCAGAATTTTCGATTTGATTATTCGTTCGGATTTCCTTCAGATTATATTATTTCTATTCCAATTATTAAATTATATTATTGTATGATATCTACTAAATCCTTTTATCAGAATAAGGATAGTAAATAGCTTTTTCAAATGAGAGGAGAGGAAAGGAGATTTACGAAATCGATAGGATTTAGTAGTTTCTCCTTTCCTGGAGAGGAGAAAAGGAGGGGAGTTTCAATACGCTGCCTGAGCTTACTCTCAATATATCTTGGGTATCCATCAAGTTCATTCACATCCACTTCCATCCACTTCCATCCACTTCTATAGTCCTGATACTAGCACTCGCATCAACACACAGTCCTCGATATTTGATAGTCGATATAAGCAAAGTTCCAAGTGGATGGGCGGGGGGAGATGGCTATTCACTCACGAGTATGTGCGCTGTGTTATGATCTTGCATGCGTGTCTTCGCGGGGGATAAAAGGGATAGGGAGAAAGAGGAAAGAGGAAGAGGGAAGGGGAAAGCGGGTTTATTACCGGGTTTATATTATACTATAGTTTAATTTGAGAATCGGCAAGCTAGTACCGGTATATAGATAGAATGTACAGAGATATATATGAGGATATGGGGAAGAGGATGTAATAAATAGAAACCTGAGAAGACTGGTATAAAAGGAGTGTTTGGTATAGTATTGTAGCTAATTAGTAATAAGGTTTTTGGAAAGTATATTGTTATCATTTTATTTTGTGATCTGGATGGAAATGCTGTGGTGTGGTTGGTGCATTGGTGTAGTTGTATTTCTGCGTTGAGTTGAGTTTAGTGTTAAAGTTTTGTAGGAGTACGAGTAAGTAGATAGGGGAGTGGAGAGTATGTCATTCTGATGCGGATAGAGAACTTGACTTTAAGTAAATACACATAGGGGATATTGTTTGATACTCGAGTATATTATTGTAATATAAAAAGAGAATTTAATTATAAATAAATCGACAAAGGATATTGTTTGTTTTATATCATTCTGATGCGGAGAGAGAACTTGATTTTGAGTAAATACATCGGGGATATTGTTTGATATACTTATTGTATATTATTGTAATGGAGAGAGAGAGCTTGATTGTAAGTAGATATATATATATAGGGGATATCGTTTGATACACTCAAGTATATTATCTTAGTTAGGCTTTGTCATTGTCATTGTCGTTGTAGATATTATTACTGTATTTCTCACTATTATATTAATTTTTCATTACTGCATCACTCAATATCTCAACAAGGAGTTCTGAGAATCTGAGTCCATCCATAACTGCCAAATATATTGATTACATCGGTATGTACTCAGAACTCTATGATTTCACAATCATCATTCGATGCGGAGTCTTCCGATACCATACTATTCTTTTTATAAAAGTACTAGAACGAGTACTATGTAGTGTTTTACAAGGATGAATCATACAAGTAACGATACACAATGAAAAAACCTTTCCCTAAAGGAACTAAACTACTTCAGACAAACACTACATGCAAAACCACTCACTATATATACTATTTAACCGCACGCATATAGTCTTTGTTCCTCCAAATATAAAAACCTTTCATGCCGTAATATCAAGTACATGTATCGAACTTAAAATGATTGATTTTCTAGTTTCTCCTATAAAAACTACTAGTCAGCCTAGAACTAATTAGCCCCCCCCCCTTTCACGTCCTCCTTATCCGAGTTCGAAGCTTGCGAGTCACTTGCTACTACTACTACCACCACTACTACATTTTTTATGCATTACTGAGTCTGTAGATTTAGCCTGGAAATCTTTTGTATGGTTTTAGTATTAAAGTTGAATTAAGTATTGTTTGACTATTGAGTATCCTGTAATCAAAAAGTAGACATATAGCGTATACCATTTAAACACATATAGCAAATGTCGATGATTCCCTCAAAGTCTCTTACATAGAGGCCGTGAAATCTCTGCACATAGAGAATGCAAATCATTCAGTACAATATGTTCCCCTAAGTCGTATATGTTTAATTTTCCTGCTGGAGCTCATACTCAGCTCACCTCATTGAATAACCTTAATGGGGACAGAAATGAGTGGTATGGAAGTAGTGGTGACTGGGGAGCAAATGGGATATGTTTTTCTTTAGAAGAACCTTACTTTAAGATATCTTGTTTTCTGGATGAAGTAAAGTAGGAAAGAAGATTAATGAGGTGCTGGATAGGAGTCATTCTTGTAGTATTATGAGTGACTAAGTTACTTTGGAATCAACTTCCAGACCTGCAAGCTGGGAAGAACTCGGGATGTAATGTGATGTGATGTGATGTTGAAGTTTTTATTGTCGAAGGGAGCCATAGACAGTGTTTGCGTTAGTATTTCCCGTATTCTGTATATGGGCCCATTCAGTAATAATTACATATTGAATATTTCGAAAATATGTGCGTATATGATATCAAATTCTATACTATTGAAAGTATTGAATATTTCTACGATATTGAAAACCATTGAAGGGATACGAAAACATAAGTATCAATATATTCAAATACGGAGTATACAAATATAAGATTATTATTGATGCATTTCTCTATACTACCAAGATTACTAATAAATTATCCTGTATTTTATTGAAATTTGAGGCTATTCCCAAATTATTATCGAATAAAATATATGAATCCTTTATATTTTATTGAAATTTGAGATTATTCCTATATTATTCCTATATTTTGAATTATAATATCAATGTTTTTCTAGTATTTCTATATATTACTCCTAGTTAATATACTAGCCTGTATTAGATAATATATATAAGTATCAATATAAATGCTCTCAATATGTACGATATACCGTATCAAGCTTCTAATATGAGTTCCCATAATACTACCGTATACTAACGCAAACACTGGCCATAGATATATTTCAAAATATCACAACAAGCATTCAAGCACCCCCACGTCTCGATGGCGCAGCGGTAGAATTCATCATTCCCGAGAATGTTTGACCGCCTTTCTACTTAGCAATTGGCAGGGCTTCGAACAGTGACATCTCTGTATTAATCGTACTTCTTATTAAATTAATAAAGAC